ACCTATTGAAACCAGTAACCTGTTGAAACCAGTAACCTACTGAAACCAGTAACCTACTGAAACCAGTAACCTACTGAAACCAGTAACCTGCTGAAACCAGTAACCTACTGAAACCAGTAAACTTCTTAAACCAGTAACCTGTTGAAACCAGTAGCCTACTGAAACCAGTAACCTGTTGAAACCAGTAACCTACTGAAACCAGTAGCCTACTGAAACCAGTAACCTACTGAAACCAGTCACCTACTGAAACCAGTAACCTGCTGAAACCAGTAACCCACTGAAACCAGTAACCTGCTGAAACCAGTAACCTGTTGAAACCAGTAACCTACTGAAACCAGTAAACTGCTTAAACCCTGAAACTGCTTAAACCAGTAACCTACTGAAACAAGTAACCTACTGAAACCAGTAACCTGTTGAAACCAGTAACCTACTGAAACCAGTAAACTGCTTAAACCCTGAAACTGCTGAAACCAGTAACCTGCTGAAACCAGTAACCTGTTGAAACCAGTAACCTGTTGAAACCAGTAACCTACTGAAACCAGTAAACTGCTTAAACCCTGAAACTGCTGAAACCAGTAACCTGCTGAAACCAGTAACCTGTTGAAACCAGTAAACTGCTTAAACCAGTAACCTGCTGAAACCAGTCACCTGTTGAAACCAGTAACCTACTGAAACCAGTAACCTGCTGAAACCAGTAACCTGTTTAAACCAGTATCCTACTGAAACCAGTAACCTATTGAAACTAGTAACCTGTTGAAACCAGTAACCTGTTGAAACCAGTAAACTGTTTAAACCAGTATCCTACTGAAACCAGTAACCTGCTGAAACCAGTAACCTGTTTAAACCAGTATCCTACTGAAACCAGTAACCTATTGAAACTAGTAACCTGTTGAAACCAGTAACCTGCTGAAACCAGTAACCTGCTGAAACCAGTAACCTGTTTAAACCAGTATCCTACTGAAACCAGTAACCTATTGAAACTAGTAACCTGTTGAAACCAGTAACCTGCTGAAACCAGTAACCTGTTGAAACCAGTAAACTGCTTAAACCAGTAACCTACTGAAACCAGTCACCTGTTGAAACCAGTAACCTACTGAAACCAGTAACCTACTGAAACCAGTAACCTGCTGAAACCAGTAACCTGTTTAAACCAGTAACCTGTTGAAACCAGTAACCTGCTGAAACCAGTAACCTGCTGAAACCAGTAACCTGTTTAAACCAGTATCCTACTGAAACCAGTAACCTATTGAAACTAGTAACCTGTTGAAACCAGTAACCTACTGAAACCAGTAACCTGTTGTAACCAGTCACCTACTGAAACCAGTAACCTGTTGAAACCAGTAACCTACTGAAACCAGTAACCTGCTGAAACCAGTAACCTACTGAAACCAGTAACCTACTGAAACCAGTAACCTACTGAAACCAGTAACCTGTTGAAACCAGTAACCTATTGAAACCAGTAACCTACTGAAACCAGTAACCTATTGAAACCAGTAACCTGTTGAAACCAGTAACCTACTGAAACCAGTAACCTACTGAAACCAGTAACCTGCTGAAACCAGTAACCTACTGAAACCAGTAAACTTCTTAAACCAGTAACCTGTTGAAACCAGTAGCCTACTGAAACCAGTAACCTGTTGAAACCAGTAACCTACTGAAACCAGTAACCTACTGAAACCAGTAACCTACTGAAACCAGTAACCTGTTCAAACCAGTAACCTGTTGAAACCAGTAACCTGCTGAAACCAGTAACCTGCTGAAACCAGTAACCTGTTTAAACCAGTATCCTACTGAAACCAGTAACCTATTGAAACTAGTAACCTGTTGAAACCAGTAACCTACTGAAACCAGTAACCTGTTGTAACCAGTCACCTACTGAAACCAGTAACCTGTTGAAACCAGTAACCTACTGAAACCAGTAACCTGCTGAAACCAGTAACCTACTGAAACCAGTAACCTACTGAAACCAGTAACCTGTTGAAACCAGTAACCTGTTGAAACCAGTAACCTATTGAAACCAGTAACCTACTGAAACCAGTAACCTATTGAAACCAGTAACCTGTTGAAACCAGTAACCTACTGAAACCAGTAACCTACTGAAACCAGTAACCTGCTGAAACCAGTAACCTACTGAAACCAGTAAACTTCTTAAACCAGTAACCTGTTGAAACCAGTAGCCTACTGAAACCAGTAACCTGTTGAAACCAGTAACCTGTTGAAACCAGTAACCTACTGAAACCAGTAGCCTACTGAAACCAGTAACCTACTGAAACCAGTCACCTACTGAAACCAGTAACCTGCTGAAACCAGTAACCCACTGAAACCAGTAACCTGCTGAAACCAGTAACCTGTTGAAACCAGTAACCTACTGAAACCAGTAAACTGCTTAAACCCTGAAACTGCTTAAACCAGTAACCTACTGAAACAAGTAACCTACTGAAACCAGTAACCTGTTGAAACCAGTAACCTACTGAAACCAGTAAACTGCTTAAACCCTGAAACTGCTGAAACCAGTAACCTGCTGAAACCAGTAACCTGTTGAAACCAGTAACCTGTTGAAACCAGTAACCTACTGAAACCAGTAAACTGCTTAAACCCTGAAACTGCTGAAACCAGTAACCTGCTGAAACCAGTAACCTGTTGAAACCAGTAAACTGCTTAAACCAGTAACCTACTGAAACCAGTCACCTGTTGAAACCAGTAACCTACTGAAACCAGTAACCTACTGAAACCAGTAACCTGCTGAAACCAGTAACCTGTTTAAACCAGTATCCTACTGAAACCAGTAACCTATTGAAACTAGTAACCTGTTGAAACCAGTAACCTGTTGAAACCAGTAAACTGTTTAAACCAGTATCCTACTGAAACCAGTAACCTGCTGAAACCAGTAACCTGTTTAAACCAGTATCCTACTGAAACCAGTAACCTATTGAAACTAGTAACCTGTTGAAACCAGTAACCTGCTAACCTGCTGAAACCATAACCTGTTTAAACCAGTATCCTACTGAAACCAGTAACCTATTGAAACTAGTAACCTGTTGAAACCAGTAACCTGCTGAAACCAGTAACCTGTTGAAACCAGTAAACTGCTTAAACCAGTAACCTACTGAAACCAGTCACCTGTTTGAAACCAGTAACCTACTGAAACCAGTAACCTACTGAAACCAGTAACCTGCTGAAACCAGTAACCTGTTTAAACCAGTAACCTGTTGAAACCAGTAACCTGCTGAAACCAGTAACCTGCTGAAACCAGTAACCTGTTTAAACCAGTATCCTACTGAAACCAGTAACCTATTGAAACTAGTAACCTGTTGAAACCAGTAACCTACTGAAACCAGTAACCTGTTGTAACCAGTCACCTACTGAAACCAGTAACCTGTTGAAACCAGTAACCTACTGAAACCAGTAACCTGCTGAAACCAGTAACCTACTGAAACCAGTAACCTACTGAAACCAGTAACCTGTTGAAACCAGTAACCTGTTGAAACCAGTAACCTATTGAAACCAGTAACCTACTGAAACCAGTAACCTATTGAAACCAGTAACCTGTTGAAACCAGTAACCTACTGAAACCAGTAACCTACTGAAACCAGTAACCTGCTGAAACCAGTAACCTACTGAAACCAGTAAACTTCTTAAACCAGTAACCTGTTGAAACCAGTAGCCTACTGAAACCAGTAACCTGTTGAAACCAGTAACCTACTGAAACCAGTAACCTACTGAAACCAGTAACCTACTGAAACCAGTAACCTGTTCAAACCAGTAACCTGTTGAAACCAGTAACCTGCTGAAACCAGTAACCTGCTGAAACCAGTAACCTGTTTAAACCAGTATCCTACTGAAACCAGTAACCTATTGAAACTAGTAACCTGTTGAAACCAGTAACCTACTGAAACCAGTAACCTGTTGTAACCAGTCACCTACTGAAACCAGTAACCTGTTGAAACCAGTAACCTACTGAAACCAGTAACCTGCTGAAACCAGTAACCTACTGAAACCAGTAACCTGTTGAAACCAGTAACCTGTTGAAACCAGTAACCTATTGAAACCAGTAACCTACTGAAACCAGTAACCTATTGAAACCAGTAACCTGTTGAAACCAGTAACCTACTGAAACCAGTAACCTACTGAAACCAGTAACCTGCTGAAACCAGTAACCTACTGAAACCAGTAAACTTCTTAAACCAGTAACCTGTTGAAACCAGTAGCCTACTGAAACCAGTAACCTGTTGAAACCAGTAACCTGTTGAAACCAGTAACCTATTGAAACCAGTAACCTACTGAAACCAGTAACCTATTGAAACCAGTAACCTGTTGAAACCAGTAACCTACTGAAACCAGTAACCTACTGAAACCAGTAACCTGCTGAAACCAGTAACCTACTGAAACCAGTAAACTTCTTAAACCAGTAACCTGTTGAAACCAGTAGCCTACTGAAACCAGTAACCTGTTGAAACCAGTAACCTGTTGAAACCAGTAACCTATTGAAACCAGTAACCTACTGAAACCAGTAACCTATTGAAACCAGTAACCTGTTGAAACCAGTAACCTACTGAAACCAGTAACCTACTGAAACCAGTAACCTGCTGAAACCAGTAACCTACTGAAACCAGTAAACTTCTTAAACCAGTAACCTGTTGAAACCAGTAACCTGTTGAAACCAGTAACCTGCTCCCTGCATCAGGTTTTCTATCATTTAATCATTTCTGATAGAACTGATGGATATTTGTATAGAAATGATCAACATGGTTTCATTTCCAGTTTCTAAGTCTTGGTGTTGTGAGGCGGATCTCAGCGGCTGCTGGGAGAACAACTGGATGTTGGTGCCGGACGGTTTGGTCCAATCAGCAGAGAGGATCTGTGTTTATGTTGACTTACTCTGAGCCCTGTTGCCGTGGCAACCAGCACTCTGACCCCGATGGCTCAAACAAGCTCGGTTTCCTCTTCCTACTCCTCTTCTGACCCCGACCCATTTGACCCGGTTGACCCTGGTCCTGCAGGTGAACAACAGCAACAAGAAGGAGTGGAACGGCATGATGGGAGAGCTGCTGGGCGGCCTGGCCGACATGATCGTGGCGCCGCTCACCATCAACAACGAGCGCGCTCAGTACATCGAGTTCTCCAAGCCCTTCAAGTACCAGGGCCTGACCATCTTGGTGAAGAAGGTGAGACAGAGACACAGACACACACAGAGACATACAGAGAGACATACAAAGAGACAGACACACAGTTCATCAGGAGTCTGAATCCAGTCCAACTGCTACCGGATCGGATAAGAACCAGGATGGATCCATGTATGAATTGTTTTCTTGCACTGTGTTAATGTGTGTCTCTGTGTGTCTCTGTGTCTCTGTGTGTGTCTCTGTGTGTGTCTCTGTGTGTGTCTCTGTGTGTCGCTGTGTGTCTGTGTGTCTCTGTGTCTCTGTGTGTGTCTGTGTGTGTGTGTGTCTGTGTGTGTCTCTGTGTGTGTCTCTGTGTGTCGCTGTGTGTCTGTGTCTGTGTGTGTCTCTGTGTGTCGCTGTGTGTCTGTGTGTCTGTGTGTGTCTCTGTGTGTGTCTCTGTGTGTGTCTCTGTGTGTCGCTGTGTGTCTCTGTGTCTCTGTGTGTGTCTGTGTGTGTTGCTGTGTGTCTGTGTGTCTCTGTGTGTCTCTGTGTGTGTCTCTGTGTGTCGCTGTGTGTCTCTGTGTCTCTGTGTGTGTCTGTGTGTGTCTCTGTGTGTGTCTCTGTGTGTTGCTGTGTGTCTCTGTGTGTCTCTGTGTGTCTCTGTGTGTTGCTGTGTGTCTGTGTCTCTGTGTGTCTCTGTGTGTGTCTCTGTGTGTTGCTGTGTGTCTCTGTGTGTCTCTGTGTGTCTCTGTGTGTTGCTGTGTGTGTCTGTGTCTCTGTGTGTCTCTGTGTGTGTCTCTGTGTGTTGCTGTGTGTCTGTGTCTCTGTGTGTCTCTGTGTGTTGCTGTGTGTCTGTGTCTCTGTGTGTCTCTGTGTGTGTCTCTGTGTGTTGCTGTGTGTCTCTGTGTGTCTCTGTGTGTCTCTGTGTGTTGCTGTGTGTCTGTGTCTCTGTGTGTCTCTGTGTGTGTCTCTGTGTGTTGCTGTGTGTCTCTGTGTGTCTCTGTGTGTCTCTGTGTGTTGCTGTGTGTCTGTGTCTCTGTGTGTCTCTGTGTGTGTCTCTGTGTGTTGCTGTGTGTCTGTGTCTCTGTGTGTCTCTGTGTGTTGCTGTGTGTCTGTGTCTCTGTGTGTCTCTGTGTGTGTCTCTGTGTGTTGCTGTGTGTCTCTGTGTGTCTCTGTGTGTCTCTGTGTGTTGCTGTGTGTCTGTGTCTCTGTGTGTCTCTGTGTGTGTCTCTGTGTGTTGCTGTGTGTCTGTGTGTCTCTGTGTGTCTCTGTGTGTTGCTGTGTGTCTGTGTGTCTCTGTGTGTCTCTGTGTGTGTCTCTGTGTGTCTCTGTGTGTTGCTGTGTGTCTGTGTGTCTCTGTGTGTCTCTGTGTGTGTCTCTGTGTGTCTCTGTGTGTGTCTCTGTGTCTCTGTGTGTCTCTGTGTGTCTCTGTGTGTTGCTGTGTGTCTGTGTGTCTCTGTGTGTCTCTGTGTGTGTCTCTGTGTCTCTGTGTGTCTCTGTGTGTCTCTGTGTGTTGCTGTGTGTCTGTGTGTCTCTGTGTGTCTCTGTGTGTGTCTCTGTGTGTGTCTCTGTGTCTCTGTGTGTGTCTCTGTGTGTCTCTGTGTGTGTCTCTGTGTGTTGCTGTGTGTCTCTGTGTCTCTGTGTGTGTCTCTGTGTGTCTCTGTGTGTGTCTCTGTGTGTCTCTGTGTGTGTCTCTGTGTCTCTGTGTGTCTCTGTGTGTCTCTGTGTGTGTCTCTGTGTCTCTGTGTGTGTCTGTGTGTCTCTGTGTGTCTCTGTGTGTGTCTGTGTGTGTGTGCAGGAAATCCCCCGCAGCACTCTGGACTCCTTCATGCAGCCGTTCCAGAGCACTCTGTGGCTGTTAGTCGGTCTGTCGGTCCATGTGGTGGCAGTGATGCTCTACCTACTAGACCGGTTCAGGTAAACGACTCACCTGAGGCCGGCCGCGACCAGAACCCCCAGGTGTTCTGGTCTGGTCCGTTCCGTTGCTGCTTAACTTCTTCTTTGTCTGAATCTAGATCAACATTTGTGGTCCAGTCCGGTTTGGACCTCAGTTACACCATCAGAAGCTCACAGCAGACTCCTTCTGAGGGGCCGCAAACATCTCGCATCACTTTTTCATTGTATTAGGAGTTGTAAAAACGCCTCCAACTTCAACAAATTTAAAAAATGTTAACTTTTAAAATTAATCCACATAAATGCTGATTATTTATAATGGACTTTAAATCCCGGACAAGCCCCCAATCTGGATCTATACAGCAGTCACACCCAGTCATATTGCTACACAATAATCTATGTTGTTCTACTAAAACAGCAAATGGAGGCATGTAGACCACACAAGGGTAGAACGTAAAGACAGACGGTACAACTGGGGCAAATTTACCACGTAAAGAAATACTGAGTCGTGTTGAATATTAAAGAGTTACATCCTCAGCTGAAGGAATAAGCAGGATCATTTTAAATAATACAAACTGTGCCTGTATAATTGAACAGGAAAACAGAAGTTTGACCAATCAAAGTGTCCTTCAGTTTTCTGTTTCTGTCCATTTTTGTGTAAATTGGTTTAATTCTGCGCTCATCCCCAGGCCCGCCCAACCCCCTCCCCGTTTACTTGGCTCCGCCCACATCGTTGCCTCATTGGCCTGGGGGCGGAGCCAAGCTTCCTCAGAGGTTTGTTGTTTTATGTTCAGACTAGAATCTGAACATGTGACTTCAACGCTGACTCTGATTGGCTCCGCCTCCGTCTGCCCTGACAGGCGAGGTGTGTGTGTGTGTGGGGGGGGGGGGGGTGTGCGTGTGTGTGTGTGTGTGTGCGTGTGTTTGACCCGGTTTGACCTGCTGTGTGTCTGCAGCCCGTTTGGAAGGTTTAAGGTGAACAGTGAAGAAGAAGAAGAAGACGCCCTGACCCTGTCCTCCGCCATGTGGTTCTCCTGGGGAGTTCTGCTCAACTCTGGGATCGGAGAAGGTAGCGACCTTCGCGTTTCTGCTGGGCCGCTCGGCCGCGTTGCTGACGGCGTGTCGCTGCTCCCTCTGCAGGCGCCCCGCGCAGCTTCTCTGCCAGGATCCTGGGCATGGTGTGGGCGGGGTTTGCTATGATCATCGTGGCGTCGTACACCGCCAACCTGGCAGCCTTCCTGGTGCTGGACCGGCCTGAGGAGCGCATCACTGGCATCAACGACCCCAGGGTGAGCGCCCGCCCTCGTTCGCCGTTTGGGACGATGATGTCATGCACTAACAGCTGATGTGCTTCCAGCTACGTAACCCGTCGGATAAGTTCATCTACGCCACGGTGAAGCAGAGCTCGGTGGACATCTACTTCCGGCGGCAGGTGGAGCTCAGCACCATGTACCGCCACATGGAGAAGCACAACTACGAGAGCGCCGCCGAGGCCATCCAGGCGGTCCGAGACAAGTAGGCGGAGCCTCGCCGGCCACCGGAAGGACCATTAGTTTTGCCTCAATGCGACCTGTAGCTGATGTTTCCATGACCACACAGATGAGATTGTCATAATCTGGTGTTTTCTGTATTTCTGAACGTCATTAATATGTGACTGCTTCCCCACACACAGCGCAGTGAGCCGCTAGTTCTGGATACTACAATAAAACTCCGTTAGTCCTTGAGCACAACCATCATTTCTGTTCAGAGAAGAACCAGATCGATGACTTGCTGAACAGACTGTGGGGAATCTACAGTTTCTCCTGCTTTTATAGGCAACCAGGAGGGGGCGCCAAAAAGCACTCATTACAGGACAACTATGAAACACATTTTAGCAGAATTTAGCCTGAACCATTTCATGTTACAAATAGACACACGCCACTTTTCTGCTTCCCGACACGAAGAAAAACAAACATGAAAACCATGGAAACCACCAAGTTAATCTATCGAATAAAAAAATTACAATAAGATAAATGCTGCCATCACAGCAGCATTAGTTTTGGAGATCAACATCGGTCCAATTTCTCATGTTCATGTTAGCGATGGGATTTGACTCCTCGGTTCGTCACAGAAACTCATCCACCAGCTGCGCTCCGCCACACGTCTGCTGAGACCAGGAGGGCATGAAATGTATTTCCTGGTTCGCTACTGTCAGGTTCAAACAACCCAACACATTTTGACACAAACAGCAGAAAGACAAGAGAGTTTTAGTTTTACTTGCTGCAAGGAGAACGGACAGGAGCGAGCCTTTGTCACAATCTCCCACCGTTTCCTTTAACATGGCTTATTCAGTTATCTTGAGTTAATTACATAACGTTGCTGTTTTACTGAACAAAAATGACCACAATAAAAAGTAGGAGTCTGCTGCCCTGGAAACCTTATAGCTAGAAAAGAGTTAAAACCCCATTAACTAAAATAAACCAACTGGGGAGGAATAATAACAAATGGAACTAAACTTGCCCAGCTGCTCCCCAACAAAACACTCAGAAAACCCTAAACCTAACCCTAACCCCTAACCCTTAACCCCGACCCTGGAGAAAACCAAACTGGATCAAACTCCCTTCACCTTCTGCCTCAATAAAACAGCAGGACCTTTAAAATGAGCCAGAACGACACCCAGAAAACACTTAACAAGAGGAAATCATTCTAATCTGAAACTGAAACCGCAGCAGCCAAACGTTCACCGCCCCAGTGAAACCAGTGAAACCAGTCAGCGCCTCCGTGTCTCTAAACAGGATCAGGAGCAAAACGTTGGGATCCCTCTGGGGATGTGCTGCTCTTCAATCTATCCTGATTGCCTCCCCAACAGTCAGCTGCGCTGTCAGCCGAGTCCATATATGGGCAACAGGAAGAGCTGGGTAGCATACCTGCTACCCAGGTAGGATTGGAAACCCCAGACATCATAAACCAATGAAATCCCCCGGAACAAACTGACATTAGCAGTCAGAGGCGGAAGTGAGAGCGCTGATCCGGAACTCGATGCGCTAAATAACTAAACAAGGAAACCTCATTGACCGCCTGGAATTTTAATAATCGGGATAAATCTGGGATCATCTGATGAATCTTTACAGCCATAAACACAAGATGAGCTTTTCCATCAGCATCCATGTTTACTTCCACTGAGCATGCTCAGTTCGTTATTCTCTGCTGCGCATGCGGGAAACCTTCTGCTTGTTCTCAGGAATCACATGCAGGTCGCATGGATGCAAAGCGAAGCGGTTTTACAGTGCATGTGAAGGCCTGCAGTGTGAGCATGCGCCGTGTGCCCCTCCTCCTCTGCAGCAAGCTCCACGCCTTCATCTGGGACAGCGCCGTGCTGGAGTTCGAGGCGTCGCAGAAATGCGACCTGGTGACGACGGGGGAGCTGTTCTTCCGCTCCGGCTTCGGCATCGGCATGAGGAAGGACAGTCCCTGGAAGCAGAACGTCTCTCTGGCCATTCTCAGGTAGAGAACGTCCCACTGCAGCTGCTCCACGAAGCCCTGCCCACTCATACCCCGCCCACTCATACCCCGCCCACTCATACCCCGCCCACTCATACCCCGCCCACTCATACCCCGCCCACTCATACCCCGCCCACTCATACCCTGCCCACTCATACCCCGCCCACTCATACCCCGCCCACTCATACCCCGCCCACTCATACCCTGCCCACTCATACCCCGCCCACTCATACCCCGCCCACTCATACCCCGCCCACTCATACCCCGCCCACTCATACCCTGCCCACTCATACCCCGCCCACTCATACCCCGCCCACTCATACCCCGCCCACTTCCTCCGCAGCTCGCATGAGAACGGCTTCATGGAGGATCTGGACAAGACGTGGGTTCGCTACCAGGAGTGCGACTCCAGGAGCAACGCCCCCGCCACGCTCACCTTTGAGAACATGGCAGGTAGGACGCAGGCCCCGCCCTCTGTGCCGCCGCCGGCCAGGTGAACCGTAAGCTGCATCTCCCCGTCCCTCCAGGTGTGTTCATGCTGGTGGCCGGCGGCATCGTCGCTGGGATCTTCCTCATCTTCATCGAGATCGCCTACAAGCGGCACAAAGACGCGCGCAGGAAACAGATGCAGCTGGCCTTCGCCGCCGTCAACGTGTGGAGGAAGAACCTGCAGGTAGGCGGAGTTACCTGGCTATGATGATGATGATGATGGCGCTGTGTTGTACCTGTTCAAACGCCTCTCCTGAACGTCACGGGTTACTTCCAGGAAGGGAGTCTGTCACGTGACCTGTGTTGTGTTGTTGTCATGGTAACGCAACGAGTGACTAAATCGGGTTGAATTGATGAACTGATGATCCTCCTCCTAATGGTCTAGTCAAAGCCCAGATTGGCCTGTTTGTTCCGGTGTTGAACTTCATCAGAAAGTTGTTGGGCTTCAGGAAGTGACATCACAGGTCCAGCAGGTCAGAATCCAACATGGCTGCCGCAGGAAAGACCAGAACTTCCTGCTGCTCGGCGCAGTGCGCTCTGATTGGCCAGCTGCTGTGACATCACAAGGCCCCACCCACATCCGGCTGAATTTATCCAACGGTTCCGGTTCTGGTTCTGGTTAGAACTGGACCACAGGTTCAGAGCGGGAGGGTTCTGATCCAAGACCTGCTCACAGATGGTGGATCTGAACCAGAACCGGGCCGAGCAACAGAAACAATCAGCGAGCAGTTAGCATGGGCTTACCATGACGACACAGAGCTCCAGGACAGGCTGCAGGGTCAGAGGTCGGCTCTTGTTGCTCATGGGGACCATCAGGAAAACTGTGAAAGGTCAAAGGTTAAACTCATGGTGATGATGTGAGACACCATGTGACCTTCACCCACAGAGACGCCATCATTCCAGCTGAGCATGGATATGACGAGCCCAGTGATGTCACTTCCTGCTGCCAAACAGGAAGTGCTGCCCTTGTTTCCTGTTTCACCTCACACACAATACACACAATACACACACAATACACACACAATACACACACAATACACACACAATACACAATACACACAATACACACACAATACACACAATACACACTGAGTACACACTCAGTACACACTGAGTACACACTCAGTACACACTCAGTACACACTGAGTACACACTGAGTACACACTCAGTACACACTCAGTACACACTCAGTACACACTCAGTACACACTGAGTACACACTGAGTACACACTCAGTACACACTCAGTACACACTCAGTACACACTCAGTACACACTGAGTACACACTGAGTACACACTCAGTACACACTCAGTACACACTCAGTACACACTCAGTACACACTGAGTACACACTCAGTACACACTGAGTACACACTGAGTACACACTCAGTACACACTGAGTACACACTCAGTACACACTCAGTACACACTCAGTACACACTGAGTACACACTGAGTACACACTCAGTACACACTCAGTACACACTCAGTACACACTCAGTACACACTCAGTACACACTGAGTACACACTCAGTACACACTCAGTACACACTGAGTACACACTCAGTACACACTCAGTACACACTGAGTACACACTCAGTACACACTCAGTACACACTCAGTACACACTCAGTACACACTCAGTACACACTGAGTACACACTCAGTACACACTCAGTACACACTGAGTACACACTCAGTACACACTCAGTACACACTGAGTACACACTCAGTACACACTCAGTACACACTGAGTACACACTCAGTACACACTCAGTACACACTCAGTACACACTGAGTACACACTCAGTACACACTCAGTACACACTGAGTACACACTCAGTACACACTCAGTACACACTGAGTACACACTCAGTACACACTCAGTACACACTCAGTACACACTCAGTACACACTCAGTACACACTCAGTACACACTGAGTACACACTCAGTACACACTGAGTACACACTGAGTACACACTCAGTACACACTGAGTACACACTCAGTACACACTCAGTACACACTGAGTACACACTGAGTACACACTCAGTACACACTGAGTACACACTCAGTACACACTGAGTACACACTCAGTACACACTCAGTACACACTGAGTACACACTGAGTACACACTCAGTACACACTCAGTACACACTGAGTACACACTCAGTACACACTGAGTACACACTGAGTACACACTGAGTACACACTCAGTACACACTCAGTACACACTGAGTACACACTCAGTACACACTCAGTACACACTGAGTACACACTCAGTACACACTCAGTACACACTCAGTACACACTGAGTACACACTCAGTACACACTCAGTACACACTCAGTACACACTGAGTACACACTCAGTACACACTGAGTACACACTCAGTACACACTCAGTACACACTGAGTACACACTCAGACACTCAGTACACACTGAGTACACACTCAGTACACACTCAGTACACACTCAGTACACACTGAGTACACACTCAGTACACACTCAGTACACACTCAGTACACACTGAGTACACACTCAGTACACACTCAGTACACACTCAGTACACACTCAGTACACACTCAGTACACACTGAGTACACACTCAGTACACACTCAGTACACACTCAGTACACACTGAGTACACACTGAGTACACACTCAGTACACACTGAGTACACACTGAGTACACACTCAGTACACACTCAGTACACACTCAGTACACACTGAGTACACACTCAGTACACACTGAGTACACACTCAGTACACACTCAGTACACACTCAGTACACACTCAGTACACACTCAGTACACACTGAGTACACACTCAGTACACACTCAGTACACACTGAGTACACACTCTGACCAGCCTCCACTGGCTGCAGGTTTGGACCTCAGCGGTTCTGTTCAGCTGATTCTGTCCTGCAAACGGATCAGAGTCTCTGATTTGGATGAATCTGCTGCATTAATTAATGCCTCGTTTTGTCTGTTAGTCGTCTTGATGCTGCATAATGAATGAATCCGGCCGGTTCTCTCTGACCTGCTGGACGAAGCTGCTTCCTGTCAGACGGAGGTTCTGCTGAACCAGAACCCGCCTGGGTTCAGGTGGAACCGTTTCTGGACCTCCTGGTATTATTGTTATCTATCGCTCATATATTGTGTACGTCATGAAAAGACATTCAGCTTCAGCGTCGTCGTTTCAAAGGTTCCTCTGAGTGAACTGACAGAAACCGGGTAACAAGAGAAGGCCTGTGCAAAGGTCACCGCTGCGCCATCAGGACTAGTTAAAGAGTCCTGATGCAGCAGCAGAACCGGGCCAGAACCGGGTAAGTCTGTGGTTCCACAGTGAATCCAGGACGAGGTTCTGACCAGACCCAGTCAGTCCATGTTGGCGGTTTTCTCTGAGGAGATTCTGCCATTCATCCAGCAGCCAGAAAAAACGCTCTGTCCACTCTGATGTCCAGCGGCCGCCATCTTGTGAGTGGCGTTACGCTCCTGCTGTCTGCCATCTTGTGAGAAACTATAAAGAAAAAAACCTGAAGCGACATGAAAATACTTCATGTAAAATCCATCTAAATTTAGATGTGGAGTTCTGGTTGATCACAGTGACGTTTCAGATCTTCAGGTGACAATAAGAAACTAAAAACTGAAGGCGTTTAAATGAGAGTTGTGCTGCTGTGTGACAGTTTCATGCTAACTGCTCCATTCTGGGTCGATGCTCCACAGTGACGTCCTGGATGACATCATCAGTTGTGAGCCAGCTCTGCTGATTCTTCTCCTTTGCTTTTGCTGCTCCTCTTTAACTCTCTGTCAGGACAAGCGGTTTGAACTTCCTCCTCTCTCTGCTTTCATGGAGCCCCTTTCAGCTCCTCTGAGGTCAAAGTTCAGAGGTTTGAGCCTTTAAGATGCTAATCAGCTGCTCCCCCTTTAGGAAGAATACCCTGTTGCCATGGGTGCACATCACAACAGCTATTTTCCTGACAGTGAAACAGAAGGAGCAAAAGTCCTTAATCAGCAACGACTCAACCAGGAAATGATGAGGTCTAGAAAAACAACCAATCAGAACCAGCATAGCAGAGCTGCTGCCCCTCCCAACATGGCGGCCGGGCTGACGTTTGATTGCTCCTCTCTGGTTCCTTGTCCTTCACTCTGTGTCCTCCGGCGTCCAGCCGCTGCCCATCATGTCCCCCGGACAGCCTCCCGCCCCCTGCTGGCCTGAGTGTGAGCTGCAGTGTCTCTGTTAATGTGTGTGTGCGCCTATCATATGATCTATTGTAGGATAGGAAAAGTGGTAGAGCAGAGCCAGAGTCCCAAACCTCTTTTAGGTCCATCACTTCAACCTCCGACCTCAAACGCCGTTTGGCCCCCGGGGACGCCACGGTAAGGACACCAAGACCACCTGTCTTCCATCGCTTCCTGTCCGTCCCCTCCACTTCCTCACCGCTTTATTTCCCTCCTTCATCGTCCCTCCCATCGGCTTCGTCCTCTCCTGTCCTCTTTGTCCCCATCACATCTGTCCCTCCGCTGTCCCACTGCGAGACACAGACAGGCGGCGTGTTGGACGCCTGCAGGCAGTCAGGTCCAGCTGTAGTCCCACACTGATCGTGTCGTCTTCTTGCAAAGGAGAAGGGAAGAGGGTCAGCCTGTGTGGTGTCCTGTGTCTGTCTCTTCCTGTCCTGTCCCTCTCCGTCTCCTCCACTAACGTCCAGCCTCTCGTCCTCAGGTCGCCCGGTGGAGGCGTGTCTCGGTCCTCTAACCCGTCTCTGTTTCAGACTCCGGCTCTCCTCTGTCCTCTCTGCTGTCCTCCTGTCCTCGGTTGCATGTGAAGACAGAGACAGCTGTCCTCTCGGGGACGGACGCGGCTGCTGGACCCGCTCATTTCTCTTTACTTCCTATATGAGTGTTTTTCTCTCAGTGGGTTTAAATGGTGTCCAGACTGCAAACACACACTCTGCCTCTGTCCTCCTCTGCAAGCACGACCGACTGTAGCCTCACACACACACACACACACACACACACACACACACACACACACACACACACACACACACACACTTCCTGTTGGAGCAGACTCACTCCAGGTTAGAGCGAACGGCTTCATCAGCGGTGGTGGAGAATCCTGCTGTGCTGGCTGAGGAAGACTCCATCAGAGACAGACTGGAGAAGACTCCAGTCTGTCACCGGACCTGCTGATCCGGTGACAGACTGGATCCGCCGCCGTATTGGTCTGCACCGACAGCTCCTAATGTTGGTGCAGACCAGAGAACCGGGCCGGGTCAGAAATCGATGGATCAGTACCTCCAGGGCCTGAAACACATTGAGCTCTGGTCGTAATGCCGTCCATTCCTGACAAGTCCCACGTTTTTCCGGGAAACTTCCGTGTTTTACTTCCTGTCCCGCCGTGCTCCCGTTACTAACAGCCAGCGGTACCGTCCAGACCTCCCGCCTGGACAAAGTTGCAGCTACCGCTAACTAGCTGCTAACATAGCCTTGCTAGCTAGCTATCGTTTTTTGTGTCCATCATGTAAGTGCAATTTGACCCTGCTGGCTAGAAACAAACCGTCCATCTCAGCAGCAGCATTAGATTGTCCCTTTGAGGACACAGTGCCCCCTATAGCTCTGCGCTGGTATTGCAGGTCAGAGACCGTCAGCTGCTGCATGGAGGCAAGGCGTCCATCAGGATGGACATGTGGACATGATGGACATCAGTGAAGCTGCTGCAGGACGTCCGGCTTCTTCCACCACTGCTGATAGCCGTTCAGTAGAGAAGCTCTGGATCAGAACCGACCCAGAAAGACTGAGCTCAAGCAGAACCTGTGGCTGGGTCAGCGTCCATTTAACGTCTGTTTTTCTGTCTCTCCCTGTTTTTGTCCCTCCCCTGTAGCCGTACCCGACGGACATCACCGGCCAGCTCAACCTATCGGATCCCTCCGTCAGCACAGTGGTCTGAGAGAGAGAGAGAGAGGCGCAGAGGGCGAGCAAGCTGCACTGCTGCTGCTGAGCCACACTCACACACACACACACACACACTCACACACACACACACACACTCACACTCACACACACCCACCCACACACACCCACACACACTCACACACACACTCACACACCCACACACACTCACACACACACTCACACACACTCACACACACACTCACACACACACACTCACTCACACACACACACACACCCACACACCCACCCACACACACACACCCACACACACTCACACACACACACACACCCACACACACTCACACACACACACACCCACACTCACACACACACACCCACTCACACACACACCCACACCCACACACACACCCACACCCACACTCACACACACACTCACACACACACACACACACACACACACACACACACTCACACACACACCCACACACACTCACACACACACACACACACACACACACACACACACACACACACACACACACACACACACACACACAACACACACCCCTTACGTCCTTCGATCTTTACCAAGACTTTGCGTTGACTTCCATTAATTTCTCATGATTTCTGTAGCCTGACCCAAACCCTAAGACAGCACAGGCCCCCATGGGGCCCCAGGCTTAGGGCCCCATGGGGGCCTGTGGGTCCTCACAGTGTAGGGAAAATGTCCTTTCTGATGTCCCCACACCAACATGGTCATAGCAACACACACACACACACACACACACACACACACACACACACACACACACACACACACACTCACGTATTAATCCACTTGTAGCCACCAGCTTCCTGCAACCACTCTTTTATTTTGAAATAAGTTGTACAGTTCTGTTTCCTGTTTCCTCAAACATCCCGACCAGATCCAGAACCAGCTTGGACTGGTTTTAATGGTTGTAGCTCATCAATCCATCAATGCTGGTTTCTTTAAATGTCACTTCCTGCTGTGACCAATCAAATTCCTGGGCTTTGCTAAGTGGGTGGAGCCTCTGAAGAAGGAAGGAAGCAGCTGTTTCCTCTCCAATCAGCCTGCAGTGCCACCTTCTGGACTGGGAGCGCGTTGCTCAGCATTCAGGAATAATTTATCGTCTGTCTGGAGCATCTGGCTGTCGGTTAAATTCAGGTCACCAGTGTTTCCAGTTCAGGGCTGCACTGGAGGAAATCACACAAGATTACATTTCTGCTTCTTTAATGTTGAAAATTTCCAGGTTTTTCATGATGCAGCAGCTTCATGATGTTGGAAACTGTGGCAGTGGATCCAAGAGGATCCAGTGGATTCAGAGGATCCAGTGGATCAAAGATGATCTAATAAAAGGGAGAATTTATTGGTTCATTTGGTTAAATGTTTCAATTCAAAATGAAGCCAGTAATCAACTGAATTATTAGTTACTAATGTTGATCTTTTATAATAAGTTAAACTCATTTGGTTCTGACCCACAAGTTCAACATAAAGTTTCTTAAAATCAAATTGAGAAAAGTAACATTGATTTACATGAATGATGGAAGTTGTTCATCTTTAGGGGAAACTTCAATTATTAAACAGAAAAATAATTTCCTGTGTTGCGACTAGAAAGTTTCACTTGCAGATTTTACCTCCAGCTGATTCCTTGTTTTATTTTTTTCAAATAATTTTTCAGCATCTTATTTTATTTGACATAATTAATTTTATTATTGTGTAAATATTTAAGTTTTTAATCCAGATTTTTTAGCTCAGTTTTATTTCTAGACGATGTTATTGACCCAAATCCCCAATTGATAATTCTGAAGTCCCCGGTGGCAGCAGCGCCCTCTGCTGGCTGGAGGCCGAACAGACGATAAACGACAGAGGTGCAGGAGTTTATTCACTTAAACTCTGTTCATGTTATTATTTCAAATAACTATTAACAGCTTCATAATTAAGTCAGATAAGTTTTAGCTTCAGAAAATAACTGAATGAATTTGTTCCTAAGGACTAAATTCCCAGAAAGTCAGGATAGCTTTGTGTTTTTCAGTTTTTTAACTCATAATAATGGAATTTAAACAGAGATGCTGGTTTATTGCCACCTTGTGGCTCTGATGTTTATTAAATTCAACAAATTTAAAGAGAATAGATCATTTTGTTGCTTTTGATCTGACATAATGAGGATCAGCTGGAGTCCATCCCTGAATGGAAATTTCCAATCCAATATGGCCGCCTGCTTTCTTCCTCGTTTTTGTTTCATTAAATCCGTCCCACACACCAGCCGAGAACTCGATCAGAACCGATCCCATCAATGTAAAACGAAGGCTTTAGCCTGAAATAAGCTAACCTTCCAGCAACCCTGGAGGCTCCTCCCACTTCCGGCCGCCTTGGCTCTGCTGAAACAAGGTCCGCCTCCTGCTGGAGTTCACTGGTTTCCAGTCTGGAGGTTGCCTGGGCCGGCGTTGGTGGGATCAGGTTTGAATCAGCCTGCAGACGCATCGGACTGTGATTGGACTGGGCCACTCTCCATTACGTTTATTAATAAGTTGTTAATAAAGCTACATTTTCCAACTGGAACTGTTTTAACCTGCAGCTCAGAGACAAAAGAAACCAGTCTGGAAATGATCAACGTGACCTAAACTGGGTTTTTTTTTGAGGTCAGAAAGGTCAGGCTATAAAAATCTCTTCTGGATGTTTTTCCATTTTTATTGCGTTTATAAATCAGCTGGGAAGCCAGGTTTTGTTAATTAATCACAGTTAATTGACAGACATTATATCAACCAAATAAGCAACAATGTAAATTGCTACATGTTTAGCATTGAGATGCTACTTTAGGCTACATAGCTTCCCTGTCAGGCTAACTTCCGTTAGCACAACTTGAACACAACACTGGTCTTTTCCTGTTAGCAGAAAAATTTTAACTCTTTACAAACTGTGACTGATTTAGTCCTGGTCCTACAGAAAGTGCCAAAGTGAAAATGTACAGAGTTGATTTTCCAGTTCCTGCATCTGCTGGTTTCCAGTTTTTAACCAGATGATCCCAAACGATCCGCAGGGATCAGAACCGGACCGAGCCGTCTGCAGGCTCATTCAGCCAGTCGGATGTTTTCCCAGCCGGCCCAGAGGGTCGGAACCGGGTCGGAACCGGGTCGGAACCGGGTCGGAACCGGGTCGGTTCCGGCGCTTACCGATCCGAAACAGAGAATCCAAATATATTCTGAATAATTTATTGAACCTCTAACATCCGTTATTAGATATGATGATGAGAATCTTCTGAAAGGAAATAAAACTATTAAATCAAATGGTTCCGTTTAATTGTTGCACTTTTTAAATGTATTTTTTGATTCACTTTTAATTTGACATTTTTGTATTTTTTTCAAATTTCACTGAATAGTTTTTTTATACAATGCACTAAAATCCAGCCAATATATTTACTTTGTTTGTTTTGTAAAACTTTATAAAACATTTATTTACATTTTTGTACCAGGATTATAATATTAATTTACGTTAAATGTAATTATTAATGTGATTACAGTATTATGTTTAAATAGACCAGACATTTTATGACCACAGTTTTTAATTCTACTTGATTAAAATTATTGTCATTTAATTTTCTAATGTAAATTATACAATGTGTTATGTATTCCTGTAGATATACTGATTGTATATTTATTTTTATTCAAATTATTGTTATTTGATTTTCATAGTTTCAATTGTACAAAATGTTTATTTTCAAATTTGAACAAACTATGAGCATCTAAAATGTGAAAACTCAAGAGATCTTCTGAAATTCTATATTTCTTATTGAATTCTGTACTTGAAGCTATTTTCATGTTAGTTGTGTGATTCTGGCTCAAGTTGCTAAAACAGTTTAAGAAATTGGATCCTAGAATCTGAACGTTCAGTTACTGAATAATCTGATCGATTTTCTATTAATTCAGTTGCACTGAAGTAAATACAGGAGCAGCTCGATCCGAGGCTTGCATTGTGATGTCACTGTGACGCCACTGTGACATCACTGTGACGTCATCGAGACGTCACTGTGACCTCGTGTTTTTGTAACGAATCTAGAATCAGCTGATCTGACGTCAGTTTGTGACAGTAGAAGAAGAAGTTATTTCCTGTCTGTAGTTTTCTGTAGCTGCTCTGTCACGGCGCTCTGTGATTGGCTGGTTCTGTGATTGGCTGGTTCTGTGATTGGCTGGTTCTGTGATTGGCTGGTTCTGTGATTGGCTGGTTCTGTGGTCACATGACTCGCTGTAATGACAGAAACCTCTTTAATGCACTTCAGTGTTTGTTGTTCCTGAGCTTGATGTCGATCCTGTTCTGCAGAAACAGTTTACAGTAATAAATATTTATTTCAATTGAAGCGGCTCGGATTCCTTCATGTGTCGATAAAAACAGGAAACGTTTCACTTTATGCTTTTCTTTATGAACTTCTCATGATTATTTATTTTAATATATTCTGTTGACACCATTTTCCCATTTCACTGATCTTCACATCACTACATATTTAGGTGTTCAAACAATTAATCAGATGCATTGATTATTGAAACAATTGTCAATCAATTCATTAATTGATTGGTGGTTAACTGGATCACAGACTGGAAAAGGAAGAAACCAAATCTACAAAATATCGAAACATTTTCCAGTTACAGTAAAACGTTTGACCTGGATACAGTCTGTAAAAACCTTTGAGCATCTTTAATATCCAGTTATTAATCAATCAATAATCCTCTGATCAGAAGTCCTGATTTCTCTCATGTTCACCTTGGAGGGATTTTTAGATGCAGATTCATAATTTGATCAAACATTCAGTAAAGGAACGATGCTATTATTACTTTATTTATTTGAAATTTTAATGTATTTTTAACTTAATGCATTAAAAAATCTGCAGAATTTCTTTTATCTGATCAACAATAATCAATAACTTATTTAATATTCAATTAATAAAAAGGTAAAAATGAACTCAACGCCTTATGGATAATAAATCCTCTCAAAATAAAGTCAATTCTTGGTTCAAAAATAGAAAGTACCCCCCGTACCACCGAGCTGCTTTAATATCAGAATCTGGATTAAAATCGTTTTGCCGAAAGGATCGAAATCAGATCTGAGTTGATTTTAACACTTTTTCAGTGCTTATATAGTCCAAGAGTTAAATTAACACTTTCAATATAGTTAAAATTTTAACACTTTATCAGAGTTACTTATTTAACTCACCAAACAGGGTTCATTTAACACTGTGGGACATAATGGATAACACTGATCCAGGAACATTAATGGACCACTTTATTAGTGTTGATTTACCACTTTCAAATGTTATTTATTCCAAAAAAGTTACTTTATGAAAAAACTAAACACAAGTACATACATTTTGAACATTTTTGCAGCTGTGTTCCCAACATTTTAAATTGTGGTACAATGATCAAACATTCATCAGAAATGCCATAAGAGTTTTGAATATCAAAAGAAATTTAAGTTCAGGGATTTTTACTAAATGCCTTTCTTCACTTTGAACAATTTTGAAAGCATGATGATGATCAAATGTTTCCGCTTGGATACAGTTTTTGACACATAAAACCAGGTCAACATTTTTCAGCCTGACTTACAAGAGAGCAAAACGGACTGGTTTAGCAGCCTTGCTCTCACGTCCCGAACTCTGGGCGATTCCTTCATTTTGCCCACGTCAATGTTATACACTGATGTCTGCAGGAATGTGTAGAAATTCATCAATGCAGCATCATAAGAGAAATTAAACACAAAATGTGCTTTGAATAGCTCATCAAATGCTCCAAGAGAAGATGTAAGAGAAGTAACAGTGAGGCCATTTCTTGGTCAAAGCCTGAGGACAAAATTATAAAAGTTTTCAGCTATAATATCAGAACTTTATGAATACTCTGAATAGTCAACTATCTTCAGATATATCCAGGTACTTACTAGATGTGTTAGTGAGGTCATCGCTTTGAAGACTTTCCGCTGACTGCACCAAACTTCTCAACTCAGGTGGAGAAGTGAAACGCTTAGCCTCCTTGGTGACATTTGGTTTGAAGAACACATCCCACTTCTGCAGCAGTCTGGATGAGGTTTCTTCACTGAATAGGAGACGGAAGTCTTGATCAATCTTTAATAACAAGTAGAAATCAAACCATTATAACAATGTAAAAATCCACATTTAAAGACTTCAGTTGAACACTTACCAATCCTTTTGTGTCCAGGAACCCCGGGAATGTGGTCAGGATATCATTTCTTCCACTGGCATCTTTAATAAGCTTGTGACGGTGCTCAAAAGTCTCTCTCATCTTCTGAAAGATCACGGACCTGTCTGTGGTGTCATTAAGCAGAGATATGGCCTCCTGGCAGGCATTCCCATCAAGCTGTTTTTCAACAATCACAGTTCTCTGTATATTTGGGTCTCCAGATGAAATGGAATTGGTGCTACTTGATGGCACAAGAGATCCTCTTTGAATCTTCCTTAGGACCGTTTTAAGACGCCATGAAATGTATCCAGTGCTGCTTGCTGCATCATAAAAGTGTTCTTAAAAAGAAAGAACAAAAATTAAATGCAAAATAACAGTTTTGAGTCACAAAATAAAAGAGCATGATTGATTGTAGAAAAAAAAAAAAAAACATTACATTGCCTTTTTTGGTGTATGGATCCTTGAGGGATGCCTTTGTCACTATTCCAAAGCCATACTTCTCTCTGATTGCTTTTGTGGGGAGGTGCCTAACAGCAGATTGTAAATTGGTGATTAAACCTTTTTTTCAATTATTATACATAAATTAAATAGTGTAAAAACATACCCTTGTTCATCAATCACGTGAGCCAACAGTATGTTCACCATTTGTCTTCTTGTGGCATCAGTTAGGGTTTCTGTAGTTTCATCCTCCTGCAGAATTTCTTCACCACCAGACTTGCTTTGTAGGACACCTTCAACCAGCTATAAAATGAACAATAAAAAAAGAAAAAACAGAAAATATGCAATATGCAGATGACCAAAATATGACAAAACATGTCTGGGCATACAAAACAGAATTTAGAGGCAGATAAAAAATATTGTTACATTTTTAGCAGACACTCAGGATTCTCAGTTCTTTGCTTCTTGCGTGGCATCTCATCCATTAGTATTGTTGATGTTGATGCATTTGAGTTGAAGCTTGAGTCAGAAGCAGACGACCATTCTGAGAACTCTGAAGAAAGAGACAATAGACATCAGTTACATTCTTTGGTAAAATCTGTAAAACAGTTGATTTAATTTGCTTTGGTATCTCACCATCATAGCAGAAAACTGTCTGTACCACATTGCCTTGTCTAAGGAGGTCACTGAATATTTCTTCGTCAACTTCAGTATCTGTTGTATCTTTGTATGTAACTTTGGTATCAGGTGGCAGGCAAAATTGTTCAATGACTGAAAAAACAAGGAAAGATTTAGAGCCTAATTCTGTAATTAGCTGGATTTTTTAAAACTAACAGTTACTTGATATTGATCATGTGATTAGCATAAATTATATTAATGAAAATACAATTTTTACTTACCACAAATGTGTAAAATATGTGTTAAACAGACATACATTGAAAAGAATAATGCCCATGCCCCACAGATGATGAATAAATAACAAACCTTTCTCATGAAACTGATTAAAGTCAAACGGCCCTTCGACTTCCTCCAACTTCACCAAACTTTACATGGATCAGCATTTTATTTAAGCATGGGATAAACCTGGACAAAGCAAAATAAGGTAAAGGTCAAGAGTTCACCTCACTGTAACTCTGCTATTGGTGTCACGTGACTTCGGCTCGTTGACGCTCCGCAGAAGCTAATAGTTTTTTTTTTTAAACTCTTTATTACTATTATCAACATATACATTAAACATGTAATCAGCTTCAAATGTACATAAAATCTGAAAAACATGATGAAGCCGATCTCAGCTGCTTCCATACAGACAAAAAGGAGGAACAACAATAACAAAACAAAACAAAAGGACATACATTAGGGGTTTTCCAGCAATTTCATGATGATTATCAGATCATATAGTTCTGTATCTTGACCTTTGTTCAGGAAATTCAGCGATAAGAAGAGGTGGCAGAGATCCTTATGAAAAAAGGAGAAAGACGGTTTGGTTTTAAGGAAACGACATTTGTGTATGAAAAACTTGCCCATAATAATTATGACATTTAACAGAGTTTCAATTTTCTTTTCTTTTCTCATAGTCCCAAAGATAATATCATTCTTGGAAAAGTCCGGTAAGTTCGGGATTTCAGGAAAAGCCAGTAGTGAATATCATCCCACAATGCTTTGCAATACACACAATCATAGAAAAGATGTTCAGTCGACTCAATATCACCATTACAAAATAAACAAGTGTTATCATCAATAGCAAATCGAAGTCTAAGGAATTCCTTAGAAGGGTAAACGCCTGAAAAGATTTTGAAGTGGACTTCCTTGGCTTTTGGAGGAATGGGAAGCTTTAAATAATTTGTTCTAATTTTTTCCTTCTGATCTTTTGAAAAGAAATGCGATATAAAATTTGGATTGGATATAAACGGAAATAGAGAACTAATAAAGCATTCCCGAAGTTTTTTGTTTTTCAATTTCTTATCTGTGATACTGAGCCCATTAATCAATAGACCAGGAAGCTCAGCGGTTCTGCAATCGGATCTCATACAAACATTTGGCTGTAGATAAAATATTAGGGGGAATAGCATTAATAATCTTTTGAAATACACTTTTATTTATTTGTAGGTTATATTTACCACTGAATTCTTCAAGAGACATAACCTTCCCATTACTTAATAAATGCATGACAGACCAAACACCTTGTTCTAGCCAATTATGTATAAAGATTGATTTATTATTAATTTTTACGTAACGGCAATTCCACAATGGAGTATTGTGTGGGCTATAGTTATGTTTATAGATTAACTTCCAATATAATAAAACTTCCTGGTGAAAGAAGGAACGTTCAACAGGTAGTTTTTTAACGTCAAAGTCACATCTAAGAAGAAAACTAACTCCACCCATATTTGAAAATATTTTACTCTGAATATGGAACCATAAAGCCCTTTGGTTTGTTAGGAAAGACCGAAGCCAATTCAATTTTAAAGTAGCGTTCATGCTGTCAAATTCAATAGCTTGCAGTCCTCCATCTTCAAACCTTTTGATTAAATTACCTTTCCTGATATAGTGAGTTTTCTGTTTCCATATAAAATCAAAATTCATCCTATTGATGGATTTGATAGCTGAAGTGGGTATTCCTAATGTATATGCAGGATATATCAGTCTGGAGATACTTTCTATTTTGGTGAGAGCTATTCTTCCCAGAATAGATAATTCTCTGTGTCCACTTATTTAAATGAGTTTTACAATTTTGAATTTTTTCCCAGATATTTAGGTTTTCTAAATCAGATTTATTTTTATTTATATGCACACCCAAATATTTGACACTGGATTTTACAGGAATATGAAAAGCAGTCGATAGAGAGCAGTCTTTTAGAGGCAAAATTTCACATTTGTTTAAATTTAATTTAAGACCTGAAGCATTTGAGAAGGAATCAATCAATTTAAGAATTTTTGGAATTTCATTCAGCTTATTAAAGAATATGGTTGTGTCATCAGCGAGTTGACTAATAGAAAACTCCTTACCCATTACAGCTAATTTACCAAATTGAGCATTTTTAATTGATATGGAAAGCATTTCTGCAGCAGCAATAAACAGCAATGGAGAGATTGGACAACCTTGCTTTATACCTTTGTTGATGCTAAATCTGTGTGAGGTACCATGTGGAAGACACACTGAACTGTTGGTATCTTTGTAAAATGTCCTAATTACGTTAATAAATTTATCACCAAATCCAAACAAAGCTAAAGCTTTGAACATAAATTCATGTTCTATCATATCAAAGGCTTTATAAAAGTCTAAAATAATACAAAGCCTTCATTTTCTACTAAGTGATTATAGTCAATTAAGTCCAAAATAAGACGAATGTTATTATGTATAGAGCGCCCTTTTATAAAACCAGATTGAGTGTCAGAAATAATTTGGGATATGCCTGATTTTAATCTGTTGGCAAAAATGTGTGTCAGAAGCTTGTAATCATTATTTAATAATGTTATCGGCCTTAAATGATCAAGGATAGTTGGATCTTTCCCGGGTTTAGGAATGAGTGTGATGACACCTTGTTTCATAGTGTGAGTTAAACAATTATTTTCTAATAGTTCTGTAATCATTCCAAACACAAGTGTTCTGATTTGGACCCAAAAGTGTTTATAAAAGTTACTTGTCAAGCCGTCGCAGCCTGGAGCTTTGTCCTGGGATAAAGCGCCCAAGGCTTTATCCAATTCCTCTATAGTGATATCTGCCTCACATATTTGCTTATAATTGTCATCAATTTTAGGAATCAAATGTCGAACAGAGTTAAAGAATATTTCTGTCATTGAGTTATTATATTCAGAAGAATATAAATTGCTATAGAAGCTAAAAATTTCCTTGGATATTAATTTTGAGTCAGTGCATGGTTTATTATTAATTTGCAAGCAATTCACTGCATTTCTCTCCTGTCTTATTTTTTCTAATCTACAGAAATATGCAGTACTTTTTTCACCATCCTCAATCCACTTCGCTCGGGACCTTAAATAAGCTCCTTTGGCTTTTTTAGTATAAAAATCATCTAATTCAGTCTGCAGAATTTTTTTTGCGCTGTTTGTCCTCATTATTAAAAAACGGTTTAGAACAGATGTGACTAAGTTCTTGAATGATTTTTAATTCCTTTTCCTTATTTTGGATAGCTATCAATTTGCTGTGTTTAATTGAGATTTCACGGACTTTAAATTAAAGGAATTCCATTTCTTTGTATAAGAACTCAGATTTGTATCATTGCAAATTAAATTGAGAAGCTCCAGGATTTTATTATTAAATTTTTCATTGTTAAGGAGGGTTGAGTTGAACTTCCAGTAACCTTTGTTGTGGGATGTTTTCAGTTGAGTTGTGATACTGAGTTGTATTACACAGTGATCAGACAAAGGTGCAGGTGAAATTCTAGCATTTACACTATTTTGCATCAGACTGTCTGAAATTAGCCAGAAATCAATACGTGATTTAGCTGAGCCATCAGGTCTGAACCAGGAGAAAGACTGACTGCTCTGATTTGCTTCTCTCCAAGGATCCACCAAATTCAGAGATAAACAAAAATTTTGTAAAACCACATTTATATGATGAGATTGGAATTTAGAGGGAGATCTATCAAGCCATTCATTGTACACCATATTAAAATCTCCACCAATATGAGATTGTTCGTGGGATATTTCTGAGATAGTTCTTTTAGTTGACTAGTTAGTTCAGACAATAAGGATTTGTTCTGAGCAACACTGTTGTAACCATAGACGTTACAGAGAATCAGAAAACTAGTTTCCATTTTGAGTACACACATAATCCAGTGGCCCTGTTTGTCTTTCCTATGAGTTTCTAGTTTTATCTGAAAATTTTGAAATAGTAAAGCAACACCAGCAGATTTATTAGTACCATGAGATAAAATTATTTTTTTCCCATTGATTTGACCAGAAGTTCTCATCTGCCTTAATAGAGTGAGTTTCTTGTAAAAATATGCAGTTAGCATTTGTATTTTTGCAAAAAAGAAATATTGATTTTCTTTTAATACCATCTCTCAGACCCCTAACATTTAAAGACACACAATTAAAATTAGAAAAGGACACAACCATGACAGAAAAACACCAGAAAAAACAGGAAGGAAAGTGAACCTCTAGTGTTGAAGAAAGGGTGAGAACTGAGCACTAACTCCCTTTAACTGAATTTAAAACAGAGTAACTGACCTCTAACCAGGAAACAGGATTAGAACATATTTATCAAAAAGATTGATCACTCCTTTGAATGATCAGCTAAACCTTATTAGATAGCTATATGTATTATTTTACCAATTTAAACAAAGGAAATTATAGAAATAAGAGAAAACAACGTTGTTTTTCTTTTAAGCATAAGCTAGCATCTAGTGTTCTTGTGCAACAGTGTGTGATTACTAGACACCACCGTTGGATCTCCATCAGTCAGGGAAAACCCGAGCTCCGCTGATGTAGCCAATGTGTCCTCGGTAGTAGACATTTTTCCCTTCATTTCTGGCTTGCTCCATTTTGGGCCAAACTGCAGCTCTTGCCTCCCGATCCTGTTTGCAGAAATCTTGCTTGAAGTGGATCCCCAGCTCCTTGCACGTCTTGGACTCTTTGGTGAGTTTCCAGAAGACATCACGAAGGTGTCGCATGCTGAACTGAATGAGTATTTGGCGATGTCTTCCGTCTTCCTTTTCCCCAGCCGATGCGCGATGTCCACTGCATTGTCAATGGACGAGGCCCAGTGTGGTGCAATCTTGGCTAAGATGTCGATGACTTCCTTGCGGGTATCTTCGTTATTCTTTTCTTTGAAGCCCTGAATTTTTAGGTTCCAACGGCGTTTATAGCGCTCTAGTTCCAGCAATCTTTCCTTCATCTCCGCATTTTCTTTGATTAGTGAAGGAACCATTTTTTCCAGACCACATAGTGTCGCTTTGCAGTCTTTTATATCAGCTGCATTCATTTCGGCTAGCTTAGAGATGTTAGCAACCATTAGCATGTTGTCACGTAGCTGCACGCCGAAGTTATCAATCTTGTCCGTTAGCTTATTAATGGCTTCCACAACCGAGTTGTTAATGTCCTCATTTTGGGACACAATTACCTTGCTGGGTGGTGTTGATGTCTTCCCAGGCGTTGGAGGAGATTTCCTTTTGCTTGTTGGGAGTGAAGTATCCATACTATACTCGTGGTCAGCAGTCGCAGAGCACGTTTTGGGGGAGACCGCTAGCTTGGTGTCCGCTTTGTCTCGTTTCATATCTTTTGTAAAGTTAAATATGGTACAGAAAAATAAACTGAAGAAATATGATGTATAGGCAGGTTAAGTAGTCTTCGGAACTCAAAATGAGAGGTCTTAGCTAACACGTCGGGATTAGTGCATTAGAGCTTAAAGTAAGCTGTCTGCCCGGTTCGCCATCTTTCCGGAAGTCGCGGAAGCTAATAGTCGTTAGCTTACATTCACAAGGCCAAAATTATCATTTTAAACGGCAAAAACGTAGAAGTATATTTTTTACGAGTGTATGGTCCTACAAAATATGTTTTGTAAGAATTACCATTATAATAATATCATAATGGTGTAAGTGCTACTAGCTACCAGCTAACATGTTGTGTAAAACTGTTGCAAAATGGACATATTCAGCTGCTTTTCATTATGTGTAATTAGTAGAAATAGTCAAATCACTCACTCTGTCAGTGTAATAGTGCTGGACAAAATATTTAGTAAGTTGGACACTTACCGTGTAGAACAGGAGATGAAGACAATGGAGCCGTGTTCAGATTGAAATCAAACTGAAGCTGAGGGTTCAGTTTATTTATCTCCCAGCAATCAACTCTGCGAAATAACTAATAACATCATTTAAATTGCTAAATGTTAAAAATACACTTACTGAGTTAAAATTAACTCTGACACGTTTAACCCTGAAATTTTAACACTCCAGTTTTTGCTGTGATGATGCCTTTTATATTTTGTGAACATGATATTACCAAACCTCCGGTAAAAAGCAGGTTGTTTGTTGGAACAGCGGTTCATTCATGAAGCCCAACAGAGACTAAGGAATCTGAACAGGTTTGAATTATTGCCTGATATGATTCTCCGGTTTCAGTTTAAAGGTTCATAAAGACGATGTGAGGAAGAGGAGGGAGAGACGATTCGCTGCACTGATGAAGGTCTGAAGCTCCTTGGCTGCAAAACATGAATAAAAGACTTTATATATACACGCGTGTGCATGTAAATATGTGTACTATATATTATTCAGTAGTCATCGTTATTTAGGCATATTTGTTTCTCTATCATTGTGTTATTTTGTGTTTGTTTATTTCCATAAAAGTTGTTTTTCTTTGTTTTTGCTACTCACCATTCAGCCACCAGATGGTGCCAGACTCGCCCTCCTGCAGAATCCTGCACACCTGAAGCAGCGGTACCTGAGCCTCCTGGAGCTGGACTCTGTCCTCGTTAGCTGTCTTCAGGTGTTTCCCTCCAGACGTCCTGCGTCCTGCTTGTGTCGATCCAATCTGGTTTCTGATCGAGATCTTCCTCGTGACAAACCCACTGGCTGCCAGAGTTTCCAGACTCATGTCTGGTTCCTCCACTGGTTCCTCTGTCTCCGACCTGTGCTGGACCACCTGGACCCACAGAGAGACAAAGACCCTGGACATTTCAGTCAACCTGCCCAGAACTACAAATCTCATCTCCACAAGTAAGACCTCCATCTAACCTGGTACCACTCCCGTCTCCGACGGCTTTGAACTCACCATTTCCTGATCTGCCTCTCATCGTGAACCGGAACCGGTCCCCCCCCCCCCCTCCCCGGACCGGAACCGGTCCCCTCCCCCCGCCCCCCGGACCGGAACCGGTCCCCTCCCTCCCCCGGACCGGAACCTCATCTCATCATTTATTGTGCTTTCAATAAATTACTTACTGTTTACAACTTTCCTGTGTTGTTCTGCATGTGGGGTAAAAAACTGGAACCCATCATGACAATAAATATGTTTTGATATTACTAAATATGTTAACTTATGACTCCTGGTATGTTTTGTAAAATGCTCATCGTGCATCAATACCAAACTATTCTATAAATATGCTGAACGACGCATCAGTCAACTAAAATACTTTAAAAATCATATCCATTTGAAACATGATGCCTCTTTGAAAAAGGTTTTCAGCAAAACCTCCTGAAAGTCTGTTTAGTATTTAGCGGGTTATGATGGACATTCAGGCTGAATGGAGGCTTGACCTCTCCAAGATGGCCGCCCTGAATCTCGTTAGCGGTAGGACGCTTTTACTGCAGAGATTCATAAAGGAACGGTGACGTCATTCAGAAAACATCCAACCATTTCACAATGTTTCACCTCATTAAATATTCTATATTGCAGTTTTAATTCGTTCATCAGGTCAAAGTTAAAATATGGATTTATTGATCTGACTGGAATCAGCCTCTGCATCATTGGTTCTGGTTCTGCTGAGTCGATCCAGACCTGGCCGGTCTGAAGCATAAGCGACGTCTGTCAATGTGGAACAGACCCGGAAGTGACGTCATTCCCGCGATTCCAGTGGCCTGGAGTTTCAGGAACAATGTCTTTTTCAAATCCTCTGTTCTGGAGGAGAATGTCAGGAGCCTGGAATGTCCTGGAGAACCTAGGGAACCTGGAATGTCCTGGAGATCCTAGGGAACTTGGAATCTCCTGGAGAACCTTGGGAGCCTGCAGCGGAGCCGCTGGACCATTCAGCTGCTGAGAGTCAGACCGGAACACGGACAGAAACTCCTTCAAAGTAAAAGCTGCTGGCTGTTTGCTGGTCTTCTGTCCAGGAACTGGGTGAGGGTGTGTTTCATTTCTTCACCTGTGTGTCTGACTGCAGCGGAACGGGACAGCTGAGAAGATTCTGGACCGGAACATTTTAATACTGATTAAAATGTTTAAAGCGTTATTACATCATTATTTTAAATGGTTAAATTATGAAAATAAATATTTTTAGTCTTTTTTTCCTTGTCTCTCTGCATGTCGGGATGAAAACCGCGCAGCTCTGTTTTATTTTGAAGGGTCAGACCGGAAGCAGTGAGTTGCATTCTGTCAGACCTGACTGGACTGTCCGCTGCGGTCCGGCTGATTCGAACAGGTTCCAGGTTTTTTGGTTTTGGACCTGTTTTTATCTCCTGGTTCTGTTGGTTCTGTTTCGGACTTTTCCGAACTTATTTTGTGTTTTCTGGAATTTCGGGTCAGTTTTCCCATTTTTCCCTGTTCGGTTCGGTATTTCCTGCTGGAACTGACTGGAATGTAATTGTGAGTTCTGAAGAGAAGAACCTCAGTCAGAACCAGTACCGGCTCTGAGCGGACCTGAAATGCCGGTTCTGCTGGTCCTGGTTCTGATTCTGGACCCGCTCTCCTGCCGGGGCGCTCCTCCGGTCCGGTCCTCCATCCCTGACCCGGTTCTGTATTTGGACCTGCTGGAGGAGCCGGGAGGGGGCAACGGAACCGGGCTCGGGCCCTGCGGACCGTGCGACCCGGAGCTGTGCCCGGAGCTCCGCGGCTGCCCGGCCGGCCTGGTTCCGGACCGCTGCGGCTGCTGCGCGGAGTGCGGGAACCTGGAGGGCCAGGCCTGCGACCCGGGGGCCCGGGCCCGGTTCTACGGGCTCTGCGGAACCGGGCTGCGGTGCCAGGCGGACCGAGTCGCAGGACAAGGAGGAGATGATGAAGAGGAGGAGGAGGAGGTGTGTGTGTGCGAGCAGCAGGGGGCGCTGTGCGGCAGCGACGGAACCACATACCTGAACCTGTGTCGGTTCAGAGAGGCCGCCTTCTCCGACCCAGAGCTTCGAACCGCGGGGACGGGTCCCTGCAGGACAGGTAGACCCGCCCGGCGGAGGGATACCAGAGAAAGTAGTTCCGACACTTTAGACCGAACCTTGAAGGAAATCCTGGAAAATTCAGAATTATTGGCAAACATTGAAAATATTGAGAGATTACCAACCAGACCGAAACCACAACCTGACTAACTAATTACCAGTTAACTATCACTTAATTACCAATTAACTATCGCTTAATTACCAGTTAACTATCACTTAATTACCAATTAACTATCGCTTAATTACCAGTTAACTATCACTTAATTACCAGTTAACTATCACTTAATTACCAATTAACTATCGCTTAATTACCAATTAACTATCGCTTAATTACCAGTTAACTATCGCTTAATTACCAGTTAACTATCGCTTAATTACCAGTTAACTATCACTTAATTACCAATTAACTATCGCTTAATTACCAGTTAACTATCACTTAATTACCAATTAACTATTGCTTAATTACCAGTTAACTATCACTTAATTACCAGTTAACTATCGCTTAATTACCAGTTAACTATAACTTAATTACCAGTTAACTATCGCTTAATTACCAATTAACTATCGCTTAATTACCAGTTAACTATCACTTAATTACCAGTTAACTATCGCTTAATTACCAGTTAACTATCACTTAATTACCAGTTAACTATCACTTAATTACCAATTAACTATCGCTTAATTACCAGTTAACTATCACTTAATTACCAGTTAACTATCACTTAATTACCAATTAACTATCGCTTAATTACCAGTTAACTATCACTTAATTACCAATTAACTATTGCTTAATTACCAGTTAACTATCACTTAATTACCAGTTAACTAACGCTTAATTACCAGTTAACTATAACTTAATTACCAGTTAACTATCGCTTAATTACCAATTAACTATCGCTTAATTACCAGTTAACTATCACTTAATTACCAGTTAACTATCACTTAATTACCAATTAACTATCGCTTATTTACCAGTTAACTATCACTTAATTACCAATTAACTATCGCTTAATTACCAGTTAACTATCGCTTAATTACCAATTAACTATAACTTAATTACCAGTTAACTATCGCTTAATTACCAGTTAACTATCACTTAATTACCAGTTAACTATCGCTTAATTACCAGTTAACTATCACTTAATTACCAATTAACTATCGCTTAATTACCAGTTAACTATCGCTTAATTACCAATTAACTATAACTTAATTACCAGTTAACTATCGCTTAATTACCAGTTAACCATCACTTAATTACCAATTAACTATCGCTTAATTACCAGTTAACTATCGCTTAATTACCAGTTAACTATCGCTTAATTACCAGTTAACTATCACTTAATTACCAATTAACTATCGCTTAATTACCAGTTAACTATCACCTAATTACCAGTTAACTATCACTTAATTATCAGTTAACTATCACTTAATTACCAATTAACTATCGCTTAATTACCAGTTAACTATCACTTAATTACCAGTTAACTATCACTTAATTACCAGTTAACTATCGCTTAATTACCAGTTAACTATCACTTAATTACCAATTAACTATCGCTTAATTACCAGTTAACTATCACTTAATTACCAGTTAACTATCACTTAATTACCAGTTAACTATCACTTAATTACCAGTTAACTATCGCTTAATTACCAGTTAACTATCACTTAATTACCAGTTAACTATCACTTAATTACCAGTTAACTATCACTTAATTACCAGTTAGGTACCAGCTAACTGTGCGACGGGATGGATTTGGCCCCTAGACCTTCAGTTTGACAGATGTGATCCAGTTTGAAGTTTAACGGCAGTTTTGTTTTCATGACAGACTTTTATTTTGAAAACCCTGTGCCCCTCAGCCCCGGTCATCAAGGTGGGCCCCCAGGACCAGCTGAACGGCAGCGGCAGCATCATGCTGTTCCTGTGCGAGGTGTTTGCGTTCCCCATGGCGCTGGTGGAGTGGAGGAAGGACGGGCGGGACGTCGTCCTGCCTGGAGACGACCCCCACATCTCTGTCCAGGTAGGCCCCGCCCCGTCTGAGAGCCGCAGCGTCCCGTTCCCTTGGACACCGGCCGTCCTCTGTCCCCAGACCAGGGGCGGGCCTCTGAGGTTCGAGCTCTCCAGTTGGCTGCAGATCGAGGGGGCGGAGCCTGGAGACTCTGGAACCTATCGCTGCATTGCTCGCAACGAGCTTGGATCGGTCTCCGCCTCGGCTGTACTGGGAGTACTGGGAGCAGGTGAGACACAACTGGGAGGGGGGGAGCTTATACTGTCCAACCTGTCCTTCCTGTCTGTGCGTCCAGAGGAGCCGTCATCTGGAAGGAAGCAGCTGCTGGATGACCTCTGACCCCTTGGTGATGATGTCGCTTCCTGTCACCAGACCCAGTCAAGGCACAATCACAGACTTTTATTTTGGTAGGGCGACAGGATTTAGATATGAGGGGCTTATGGTGGAATTCAGTTTTTCAAAATAAAAGACCTAGCAGCTATTTGGGCCGACTTCCTGTTGAATTTGAATCTGCTTCCTGTAAAATCTGATAATAAACCAGAATATTAAATTTTTTGTGTTGATCTTTGACCTTTTCCTCAATAAGCAATTTTTCCAACAGCTGGAAACCAAGGTAACCATCTTCATCCTCCTCTCTCAGTTCAGGCAGGAATCCATTAGACTGGATTAACCCTTTACTGGTTCCACTGGGAGGAGCTGAGACAGAACCCACAAGTAGTGTTCACTAACTAGTTCTGACCCAGTTCTGGAGGCTTGGCTGTAGAACCAGGATCTGGCTCCAGTCTGTCGGCTTTCATCTGAGGATCTTAACTCTGAGGTCGTCCTCCACTCAATCATCTGGTTCTGATCCGGACGGCCTCCACACACACACACACACACACACACACACACACACACACACACACACACACACACACACACACACACCACACACACACACACACGCGCACACACACACACACACACACACACACAGAGCCTGGTGTGTGTTAGAGCCAGCTGTTCTGCAGCTGAGGAAGAGGAGGAGGAAGTCCAGCTCACTGATCTCGATCCTGACTGCTGGCTTCTTTCTGGTGACTCTGCCAACGGTGACCTTTGACTCTGATTCTGATCAGGACCTTCATGGACAGAATCCGCTGAGGCGTTGAGGGATCCCTTAGCATCTGCTCTTGGTTTATAATATAAAATTATGACATTTCAAGTGTTCCTTAACTCCTGATTGTTTTGTTTCACTTTGTCTCATCATCAAGATGGCCATCTTAAATAAAATATTTATATAAACAGACCGCTATACGTTTTATGGGTCATTTTAATCAACCTTTATCCCGGAAAGGTCCTTTTCATGAGTCGGAAGCAGAAGTTCTGCAACAGAAGTCTGGCTGCAGTGTTCCTCCCCGCCGGCAGGTGGCGACAGAGCCGTTCCCGGAGAACCGGATGCTTCTCGTTAGCAGAGTTAGCCTGGAGGTCGGAGGTGAGTTCAGTGAAATGATGAAAGAAATGCTAAAGTTTTGAGTCACATTGATGACGCTGCGGTCACGAATCAAGCAAGAGAATAAAACCATCCGTCTGAGTTTGTTCGAATAAGTGTTTTTATCCTGTTTTTTGTTTGTTTGTTTTTTAGCTCCGGTAGCTTTCAGGTCTCTGTTTAAAATCCAACCATTTTAGATTTATTTGCTTTTTAACTGGTTGTTTCTGTAGGTATTGTGATGCTTATTGGTTGGTAGTAAGTATTAATTTGTTCCCGGTAATTCGGCCTGACTGTGAGGACAAATACATGTTTCTAACTTTCTATATAGTTGAAGAAATACTTTGAGAACTGATTGAGAACAAATCCAGGATTTTCTGTAGTGGTTGGTTTAAACCCATAAATCTGTCCAATCAGTTTATTTATAGTTGAAATGTAATGAATGAGTCTGCTGCAAGCTGATGGTTTAATGAGAATAAAAGTCTTTATTCCTTTGAGGAGCAGAGGTCAGAGGTCATCATGGTCAGACAAACCAGGAGGACGGACAGGTGAGAGAATCTGGATCTGCTCCATCAGGTTACTCCTGTTTGAACTCTGACCTCTGTCTATTCTGCCCTCCTCCAGGTGTTTCCTTCCTGCAGCGGGAGGTGGCGTAGCGAAGGTTCGATTCCCTGCTGGTCCTCCAGCTCAGCAGGTGTGTAAATCAAACTCACTCTCCTCCTGCTGATCCACCTCACCTCCTGAACCTGCGGCTCCTGCTCTGCAGGCACCAAGAAGCTGCAACGCCCAGCCCAAAGGCAGTCCCGCCGCCGCGAGGGAGAAGCGAGCAGCCTATGGGAGGAGCCAGGGAGGTCAGGGGTCGGATGGAGGTTCAGGAGATGTTCAGATGAAAAGAATGCGACAAAATGGGTCAGTTTGGTTCCGGATGAGGCATGAAGAGGGAAGAGCTCGTCATTCTGAACCTTCAGCTGTTGATGGTTTCTTCACAGTTTGGACTGTAAAATTTCTTCCAACAGTCAGAATCAAAGTTTTGTTTCCTGCAGAACTGAAGCGACTGCAGCTCTGGCCAATAGGAACAAAGCCCCTGGGTCATGTGACCCAGCAGGAGGTGAGTGACTGCAGCGTCGCTGCAGCAATGAATCATTGGATTCACTGCTGCTGTTTCTGTTCTTCAGGTGGTTCTGGTTCTGAGCAGCAGGGGTCAGCAGAGGACAGCCGAGCAGCTCAGGTAGGATGTAAGATCCTTTAGGCTCCTCGGACTGTTAGCGTGTTAGTGACGTGTTGTTAGCGTGTTAGTGACGTGTTGTTAGCGTGTTAGTGACGTGTTGTTAGCGTGTTAGTGACGTGTTGTTAGCGTGTTAGTGACGTGTTTTTTACATGTTGCAGCTGCAGAGCGTGGCCTCCCTGAGGGTCACCATCCAGCAGAGCAGCAACAGCCGAGAGTTCGGTCCGGCTGACAGGAACTCCACTGGCCTCCACTGTCATGTCTGCAGCCTCACCTGTCGCTCCCTGCAGGTGAGAAACACACCTGTCCTTCCTCCACGCTGCTTCTTCAAAATAAAGGAGCTGTGAAGAAAAACCCAGAATGCTGTTTATAGTGGAAGCCATGTTGGCTTCATGCTTTAAGGTGTCGGCCATATTGGTAGAGGCCAGTTCATGCAACATATGATTTTTAGAAAACTGAGGTTTTCTAAATGGCAATGAACATAAAAGTAAGTTGGACAATAACAAATGTTCATTTCAGTTCTATTAATCGCAATCATTGAGATGAATGTTAAGATGTATCAGTTTATTACTGAACTACAAAATTAGAAACATCTTGTCATTCTCTGTACAATGAGCCAGTTGAGCTAAATGTTTGCAGAACCTGTGTGTGTGGTCCAGGTGTTTCAGGAGCACATGTCAGGGCAAGAACACCTGAGGAAGCTGCAGGACATCACACAGAGCATCCAGCTGAACGCCAGCCCCCTGCTGGACAGGTGCGGTCTTGCAGGGTTTACTGAGGCTTTAAATGTCCAAAACCTGCAGTAACAGTATATGTATGTAGGGGGCGCCAGACACGGGGACAGCGCTGGTGTGACATCTGCCAGGTCCACTTCAGTGGTGACATCATCGTCCACAGACGGACGGAGCAACACAAGGTGAGAGCAGGAAGTCTGAGAGCGAGCTGCAGGAAGGAGGCTCAACTCACCGGTGTGTGTGTGTGTGTGTGTGTGTGTGTGTGTGTGTGTGTGTGTGTGTTATCCAGGTGTGTAAGCAGCAGGGGCGGCCCTTCTGTGCGGTCTGTCAGAGACACTTCAGGACGCCCAGGAAGTTTGTGGAACACATAAAGTCTGTGGAGCATAAGGAGCAGGTGAGCAGGGGGCAGCAGGTGAGCAGGGGGCAGCAGGTGAGCAGGGGGCAGCAGACCGCCGGAGCTGCTGATGTCATCACTTGTGCTCCAGCTGATGCAGGTGCAGCTGGGGGACGAGGAGGACGAGGAGCTCATCACTGTGGACGCTGTAGGCTGCTTCAAGGAAGAGGAGGAGGAAGTAGAGGTGGTAGATGAGGATGAACAGACGACACCATGTGAGGTTCAGAGGTCAGAGGTCAGTGCTGCTTCAGCCTGTGGCTCTAAAACCTGGAACAGATTTTGGTCCGACACAGATTCTTGTCCCCTACAGACTGTTGATGCCAAAGAGTCGGAGGAAGAAGACGAGTTTGATCCCCAGCTGACTTATGGTAAATCGGCGCAGCGGCGGCGCCCCCCGGTGGCGCCCCTGGTGGCAGCGCGGCGCCCAGCCCAGCCTGTTTTCTCTGTATGTGATGAACCCAAACAGAACCGGGTCTAATCTCTGAGCAGGAAGCAGCTTCGTGGTTCCGGTTCGCGGCTTCGTCTGTCGACTCTGCAACAAATTCTTCTACAGAGAGACGGCAGCGAGACACACACACTGCAGGACGCACACACACTTCCTCAACCTGCAGGTAACACACACACCCTTCCTGACCAGCAGTGACCCAGACTGGTGATGTTTCGCCTCCACAATGGTGTCTGTCAGCGGTTCTGGTTCTGTCCGGAACCGGGTTGGTGCTGACCTTTGACCTGGGTTCCAGCTGTGATGGAGCCTCCGTGGCTCCGTGCGGGTCGGACAGGTCCAACAGCCAAACTCCAAACCGTAAACAGGCTGAATTTTTGATGCGTTTGGTTTCACCAAAACCCAGAACAGAAATGTTAACCTGGGTCCAGCCTGGTGTCAGATTAAAGGTTCTGGAACCGGCTGCTGGGTCCAGTCTGGCGGTTCTGGACCCAGTAAGGCAAACAGTGAGCACCAAGCAGAGGAAGTGGCCTAGTCAAAGATGGATGAACACAGAGACACTGCTGGAGAACGAAAGAAGGCCAGAAGTAGCCATGCTAGTGCTAAAGCTAATGCTAAGTCATCCTGCATGTTCTCCTGTTTTCCAGTGTTAGCATTTCAGCGTTTAGCTTCACGTTTCATAGAAGGTACACCTGCTCTGTTTAACACCTGGAGTAGGCGGGGCTTCTCTCTCTCTCTGAGGTTCTGCTGAGGCCCGTTTGGGTCAGACTGGACCAGTCACATTTGATGTTTGTTTGTTCCAGAACCACAGAGCTCAGACACGGAGGACAGAGGAGGATGAAGACAGGTCTGCCCTGACCTCATAATTCCATTTCCCAGAATGCATCAGGGAATCGTGGCGATGTCATGATGTTCTGAAAACTCGTGGTCGCCACCTGGTGGCCACTCCAGGCACAACAGCTGTGTCCCTTAAAGGAACAGAGCGCTGACTGAACACTGGGCAGGAATGGAGCTCCATAGCTTCAGTTTATACAGCAGCAACATCAGCAGGTCAGAGGTCAGAAGAGAGGCCAGCAGCTGCTTCTACTGGTTCTACTGGTTTTCCTTATATCCCACTAAGAGGAGACTGGTTTTCAGACCTGGTTCTGGTCCGTCTGAAGGACCAGAACCTGATTGCTTCGGATCCTTTAAAACAGGGGTGGGCGGTCCGGGTCCTCGAGGGTCAGTGACCTGCAACTCTTAGACGTCTCCCTGGTCCAACAGCTGAATCACCTCCTCAGTGCAGTCCGGTTCTCCTGCATGACCTCATCATTTGACTCAGGTGTGTTGAAGTCCAAACACATGTAAAGGTTGCAGGAAGTTTCCCAGCTCTGCTTTAGAATAATGATCAGAACTTATTGAGATCAAATTCAACATCTCCAGGAGTCAGTTTTACAATAGAAGCTGCTACCTTCAGGTGGGAGTTAGCATTACAGCACTAATTGATTTTCCATAAATTTCTAAGAAAATCAGCAGGAAGTGATGGACAAACTGATTTGATCAATAAAATAACATTTAAAGGTTTGTGCGTCCAGAGGGCCGCAGTGAGGAGCTACGGTGGTCCGGATTTGGCCCCCGGACCTTGAGTTCGACACTTGTTCTGGATAATAATTTTTGTTAATGTAACGGATAGTAAATTATTTAAAGTTGTAAATTATGTAACGTGAATTTTGTAAATAATTTGAAATGAATTTGCAGATTTATGTTTGTTCTGATGAATGCTGCTGGTTGTTTAGTTTAAAGGTGTTTTAACTTTGTAATGTTTGTTTTGTTTTGTACCTGGTGGGCTGCTGTAGCCAATAGGGGCAGGGCTTACAGAGGCCTTCAGGTGCATCATGGGAAAAAGACAGACGCCCAGCCTGGTTTGTCTGTTTGCGCCTTAAAGCTCATTTGTGTTTTAATGTTTGTGTTTTGTTGGCATAGTGATGATGATCCAGATAAAAAAGTCGCCTGTGTTACTGGATGAATGAATGAATGAATGATGTTAAAGTTCTTATTTTGAAATTAAAGATACATTTTGTGTGAAAAGTGAGCCTGGATTCTCTAAAGTTGTTTCAGTTTCATGATGATTTTATCTTAATATGAAACATTTAATATGATTCAGTCTGATTCCAGTGAATCAAATATGAACTTTAATGTCACTGTGAAGGAAATGATTCCAGATTGTTTCTGTTCGAACCTGCAGAGTCCTGGCTGGGATTCAAACCCACAACCTGCATCTAAACCAGGCTGTAAATGTTCACATTGAATGTAAATGTATTTACATTCAAGCAATCATGATGTCAGAAATGACTCCATGATGTTCAAAGTTTTCATGTTTCCGTTAAAAGGAGTCCAGTTCAACGTTCTTCAGCAGAACCGGGTTCCTGTCCCTTTAACTGGGAATATCTGCTCTGTTTGGTCACATTTAATAACCTCATTAATTACAGATTCATCTGCTCAGATTTACTGTCAAATCAGAAAATGGTAAAAATCAGGTTATTAAAACAAGAATATTTTGATGTTTTTCTCATTAACGGCATGCTAATTATCTCTCAAACATCTTGCAGATCAAATTTGTTCTTCAGTTGAACCAGGAGCCACAAACGGCCCGCGGACCGCACTTTGATCACCCGCGGCAGAACCGAGCCTGTTTTTCACCACAGGGGGCGCCCTGTGCGCAGCGAGCAGGAGGCCGCAGGAGGATCCGCGCCTCCAGGTGAGCTCCTCTCCGCGGGAAACCCGCTGCCTCAGCCGGCCTTCAGCGCGGAGAGCCGGTCCGGATGAACCCGCTCAGGAAGTTCAGAACCGCGGTCCAGATCCGAGTTCGGTTCCGTTTCAAGCCGTCGACTGAATCTGGAAGGACTTCATGATGTAAAAGTTAGAAATGATTCATTTTCAGATGGTAACTTAAAAATCTTCAATGAATTAATAAAAACTAAAAGCTGGAAGGAATTTGAGCCGGAAAAGGGGCGTGGCCTCCGAGGTGAGCCTGACGTTCCGCTCAACCGGAAGTCGTTTGAATGTAACATACTTCCGGTTACATTCAACCAGGTTCTGTCCGGTTCTGTCAATTCGTCCTTCTTTCTGTCTCCAAACACATTTAATGGAAAAACTGAGCTGAAACTTGTATGCAGTTCCAGCTTCTGGCCAGCAGGGGGAGCTCACGCTGTTTAGACTGATTCACTCGACGGTTCGGCTGCAGGACGGGCAGAAGGTCCGGTCAGTCTGACAGCAGAGTGAAGTTCTGCCTCTGGTTACTGGAATCCAGTTCTCACATGATTCTGCCCAGTAAAGCTCTGGGACCGGTGGACCTGGGCCTGAGTTCTGGCCCGGTTCTGGGCCTGAGTTCTGGCCCGGTTCTGGGCCTGAGTTCTGGCCCGGTTCTGGGCCTGAGTTCTGGCCCGGTTCTGGGCCTGAGTTCTGGCCCGGTTCTGGGCCTGAGTTCTGGCCCGGTTCTGGGCCTGAGTTCTGGCCCGGTTCTGGGCCTGAGTTCTCGCCCGGTTCTGGGCCTGAGTTCTGGCCCGGTTCTGGTCCAGATGATCGTTTCAGGACCTGAAGGTTCCTGCAGAGTTCAGCTTTTACCGTTTGAATTGGCTCTGGGTCGGAACCTTTGTTCTTGTGTTTTCCGGAACGCCGTTGGTCTGACGTTACATCCGCTAACAGTTGCCATGGAGACGCTTCTCGGTTCACTTCGGAACAATCTGAAGGGAAACCACGTGGTTGTGCTAAAAGCTAGCAAAGTTATGCTAGCCTGAAATAGCACGTCAATGCTAGTACTTGGCAGCTAATGCTAACGTTAGCATCCAGTCACATTTCTAAAGGAGTTCCGACATGTTGGAATAAAACCAGTAAATCTCAGTTGAACTGAATCTGATATTTTCACCAAAATGTGATCAATTATCTTCTGATATCTAAATATGGATCCAGTCTGCTGGCTGACCTTCCCAGCATGCATTGCTGCTGTCCTGAGGAACGCCTCGTCGTTCTGGTAATTAAAGTGCTTTTGAGTGTTTCTGCTGAATAGAAGCTAAAAGCTGAGCTGCGTCTCCACCTGCTGCAGCACAAGGACGCCGCCTCTGACTGAAGCTTTTCATCTGCATAATGGACGACCTTCAGCAGGACGACCTTCAGCAGCAAACACAGGCTGGAGGTTTGATTCCCTGCTGCCTCTGGGCAAGGCAGCAGGCTGTCACCATGGTGACCACAGCCAAGGATTCACTTTTCAGATTTTCTCGTCCACATTTTATTAATTCTTCATCTCTCCTTTCCTTCCTTCCTTCCTTCCTTCCTTTCTTTCTTCCTCTTTAATGTTTCTGATTTTAATTCAGTTTTTTTACTTTGTTTTTCCTCCAGTTTTCACTTCATCTTCTTTTCCTCTTTCATTTAATTTTTCATCTTTTAATTTCTACTTTTAATTTCTACACACACACACAGAGACACACACACACACACACACACACAGAGACACACACAGAGACACACACACACACAGAGACACACACACACACACACACACAGTGTGTGTGTGTGTGTGTGTGTGTGTCTCTGTGTGTGTGTGTGTCTCTGTGTGTGTGTGTGTCTCTGTGTGTGTGTGTCTCCGTGTGTGTGTGTGTCTCTGTGTGTGTCTCTGTGTGTGTGTGTGTGTGTGTGTGTGTGTGTGTCTCTGTGTGTGTGTGTGTGTGTCTCTGTGTGTGTGTGTGTGTCTGTGTGTGTGTGTGTGTGTCTGTGTGTGTGTGTGTGTCTGTGTGTGTGTGTGTGTCTCTGTGTGTGTGTGTGTGTCTCTGTGTGTGTGTGTGTCTCTGTGTGTGTGTGTGTGTGTCTCTGTGTGTGTGTGTGTGTGTGTGTGTGTGTGTGTCTCTGTGTGTGTGTGTGTCTGTGTGTGTGTGTGTGTGTGTCTCTGTGTGTGTGTGTGTGTGTGTGTGTGTGTGTGTCTCCGTGTGTGTGTGTGTGTGTGTCTCCGTGTGTGTGTGTGTGTGTGTGTGTGTCTCCGTGTGTGTGTGTGTGTCTCCGTGTGTGTGTTGTGTGTGTGTCTCTGTGTGTGTGTGTGTGTCTCTGTGTGTGTGTGTGTCTCTCTGTGTGTGTGTGTGTCTCTGTGTGTGTGTGTGTCTGTGTCTGTGTGTGTGTGTGTGTGTGTCTCTGTGTGTGTGTGTGTGTCTGTGTGTGTGTGTGTGTGTGTCTCTGTGTGTGTGTGTGTGTGTGTGTGGTGTGTGTGTGTGTGTGTCTCTGTGTGTGTGTGTGTGTCTCTGTGTGTGTGTGTGTGTCTCTGTGTGTGTGTGTGTGTGTGTTGTGTGTCTCTGTGTGTGTGTGTGTGTCTCTGTGTGTGTGTGTGTGTGTTGTGTCTCTGTGTCCTTCAGTCTCTTTGCTTCTCGGTTCTGAATGTTTTTCTCTGTTTGCAGCTTTAAAAGCTTTAAGAGAAACAAAACAAAAACTGGGTGAAATGAAAACAGGGAGACTCGTCTCCTCAGATTGACCCGGTCCAGTCCGGTCCAGTCCGGTCCAGTCCGACAGCAGATTCACATATGCAGCGCAGCTCACTGTTGCAGTAGGTCAGAAGAGTTTGACCTGAAGGTTCCACAGAATTCTGATTCGGAGGGCTGAATGGTACGCCACACTTTTCAGATTTGATCTTTAAAAAGAATGAAAAAGCAGAAATGATTTTCCTTCCATGTTAGTTTCTTTAATAAATGAGGAGTTTGGGTCACTGAAGCAGCTCTCTCTCCTCTCCCTCCTCCTCGTCCTTCTGCTCATGACTTCGTTTCTCTGAAAGCCTTTTATTCTGATCTGCTGTAATTAGCTGCTACTTTCTACCCACTGAGCCTCTAACTGCCTCATAATGTCAGCGTGTCAGTCACAGCCGAGCCGCTGAAGGCTGAAAGCTTCGTCTCAACCAATCTGGCCTTTTAATAACCTGCGCTGCGATTTGCTGCTCAGAAAAACGCAGCAGCTCTTTGTTTGCTCGTCAAAAACTTCAAAGTGGAAAGTGTTTTGGGTTCTGGTTCTGTTGGGTCTCCAGGACCAAAATCGACCCACACGGAGCAGGACTGGGTTGATCCGGACCAGAGACGGGCAGCAACCAGAACCATGTAGAAAATCCACCTACCGTTTACCTGGAGTCCCTGAACGCACCACATTCTGGTTCTGGTTCTGGTTCTGCTGTCCATCATTCATTCATGTTCACATCCAGAGAGAGAGAGCAGGTAAATGATCGCCCTTCAGCCTGACGAGTCCCCCACTGCTCTCAGGTTTCCTCCCCGCTCAGCATTAAAAGGCAGCTGTCATCAGCCTCGCCGCAGTGTGTGAGTGTGTGAGCTGCCATTAGGCGCCCGCTGCCGTGCGGCTCGGTACGCTCTGCCCCGCGGCATGCTGGGTAACCCTCCAGCTCGCTGCCACTCTGAGCTCGCAGCCACAGAGCTAAATGACAGGGTCGGCTCCTCCTGGACGCCCCGCGCCGCGAATCCAGCGCTCCTCTCTGCTACCCTGCAATTAACTCACACAGAGCCGGAGGAGGAGGAGGAGCAGCTAATGTGATGAAGGTGTGAGAGCAGCCATGAGACAGCAGCACACTGTACCACCAGAACCGAGGAACCGGGTCCCAGAACCAGAACCAATAATTTACTGCTAATCTGAATCTGCAGCAGCAAAAACTCAGAATTTGAACATCAATAATACACAAGAAACAAAGAAAAATCAAAGCAGTTCCTGTAATCCGTTATCATTATTATTATCATCATTATTATTATTGTGCTTGTTTCCAATTTGGTTCTTCTGGATTTCTGTTCAGAAACAGATTTAGGTTTTTATATAACTCCACCTGCCTAGTCAAAGTCCAGTCAGTGAGATGTGAACGCTCGTTGACCTCTGACCTCTGGTCCTCCAAACCTCGGTCTGGTTCAGTTTGAATGTGAACGCCAAGCGGCCCAGAGAGCGCTCCAAAATCAGGATGTGGACGACAGCAGGGCATTCTGGGTAAATCCAACCAGAGCTAACATGCTAGCCTAGCGCTAGCAGAAATGGCTCCTGGTCTTCAGCCAAAGACTAAAGAGAAATCAC